TTTCTGACCTGGGAGGGATCAGTATCGCCTGAACCCAGCTGATGTGATGACTGGATGGCGGCTGCTGTATTTTCCTTTAAAGGCTGTTGGAGGCCATGTGTTCTTAGGAAAACAAATCATTTGCATTGAACTATTTTGATAATGTGATATCTAATCCAGACGTTACTCGTTTAAGGACCTGCCTGTTTAATGACTGAACTTACCATGATGACGCGCTCTTTGGACTGATGACCCCACCACTCAGATTTATGACCCATTGGGGTTCTTTTGTATAGTTCTGTATGTCTTGTATGTCATAGATCCTCAATGTCTTGTTGTCTTTTTTTTACAGTACACTTTGTTTATACAGTGCAGTAATTTTTTCTCATTGTACTGTACAGTAAAGCACTGTAGTTTTATGTTCTGTTATACATTATAATACTGCATGTAAGAGTTATGCAAGTGAAAGTCAAGTTGGAGTTTCCTTCCACTATCTTTTGTTCTGAATATTGTAGTGTATATACTACATACAGTTCCTCATTTACCCACCAATTCAGTTAATGACCTAGTTGCAGGAATGAATAAAGGAAGAGTACTTGTATTTAGGAGGCTGAGGCAGGAGGATAGCGGGAGGTTTGAGGCCAGCTTTGGGTGACACAGCAAGACACCATCTAAAGAAATCCTAGTTTAAAAAAAAGTTATTGAATTCCTGTGTTTGTGGGGATAATGCTGCTTACTAGAATAGAACCATGAAGTTGAGTTTTTATAATTCACATGGCTTATTAGGTTTTAAATTGATAAAACCTCCAAAATCAAAACAGTAATTGGTTTAGATACTGTCACATGAGAAATTTCAGACATCTCCATGTGGTTTACTCTGGAGAAGCTGATGTTCATGTATTGTAAGCAGACTGACAGATGCCATAATTCTACCTTAGACTGATGTTTGTGTTTAATCTATGCTGATTTTTAAAGGTTTGGAAATAATAATTGGAAGAGTAGTTATAATATCAAACTGTCACTCTGTATTTAATTTGTTGGTTGTTTGTTTGAGGCAGGGTCTCACTAACTTGCTAAATTGTCTGGGCTGGGCTTGAGCTTGGCATCTTCCTGCTTCGGCCTGCCAGGATACTCATGTTATGGCCATGTACCACTACACCTGGCTCTCAGTTTTTATTTGGATAAAGACTTAATTATTAAATATGTTTGTCACTTCCTTGAGAATAATTTTTCTCTTTATAATCTTCCTACTAAGCAAAAGGTTCATAATCTGGTGGGGTGGATAATAGAGTTCTCTATTGAGCAGGAAATTAACAATAAATATGTCAGTAAGTCTATATTAGGCACCTATAATTGGAATGAAAAGAGAAAGGCAAATAAAGAGCGGTCCCTGCCCTGGAGAAAACTACAGTCTATTTAAAATGCAGAGTGTAGCTTGTAGTTCTGTAGATGCAGACCTAATTTTATTCAACCATATTTCTTAAACCATTACTATGTAGTAAAAGACTTTGTCATATGCAAGTGTGTTATTTGTTCTATCCCCAGTATAAAACCTACAAAATATTTAATTGAATTGCTACCTAAATGGAGTTTTAATGTCCATTTTATTTTTTGTAAGCCAAAAGATGTTTTAAAGTTGTGCACAAGGCATCAGATGTAAAATTTTTTTTAAAAAGTTTTTTTTTTTTTAAACTTTTGGTGTCAGGAATCAAACTCAGGACCTTGCACTTGCCAGCCAGGTCCTTGTTCCACTGAGCTAGATCCCTGGCCCCTAAAGTCTGAAACAGTGTTGGTGATGTTAAGGAAATCATTCTGTGAATGTTTGAGTTTATTAGTGACACTGGTGAGTACTGAGGGAAAGAGGAGGGAAGTGTATGAGTGTGATCACTATTCAACTTACACACTTGCTTTATGTAGTAAACTTCAGGCATGCGAAATTGTGAGAGAGAAAATGAATGAAAACTCATTTCAACCTTCAGACTGTTTAAAGTACATTTACAATTATTTGAGGTGACTTACTACATACATAGTAATAAATAGTAATTAATAGTAATAAACATTTAAAGCATAGATGTTAAAGTATTTTCTCATAAATATAATTCACCTTTAGAAATTTATATTCTTTGCAATTTTTCATTAGTGAAAATTAGGTGTACTCTGATTTGAGCCTTGATATGTTTCTCATTATTTATGTACTGTATTTAGAAAAAAGATGAAATCAGAGCTGTATTTGCCATAAATATATTATCTTTATACAAATGTTCTCTTAATTGTATGAAATTAAATTTTCTACTGGATTTGTGGACCATCAGAAAGGAAAATATAAGTTGTAGAGTCAAAAAAAAGGAAAGACTTAAAAGATAATTAGAACTCAATATAATGTAGGAGTATTGCCGCTTTAAGCTCCGTTAGTCCTCTCAGTGAGGGCATATCAAAGAGAAAGGTCATTAGCTCGTCTGCTAAATTCTAGCTCATGGCATTCATGTAGTCATTTATTGTTGTTGATACAGTTTTTACTTATTAAGACCTAGTTTTCTAGAAACTGATGTGAATGGATTGTCTGTTTTTCATTGCATGTTGTTAGTATTTTGATTTATACTTTGACTTTATACTTTTCCTTTAACTCTTACATAAAATTAGAGCATTAACATATAAACCCTATTCAAATGCTATATCAAGTTGACTGATCAAAAGTAGTTGTGTAGTCACAGTTTTCTTTTCCCTGGGAGTGGGAGGTTGAAGTCTCCGAAGACATTACTGTGTGTGGGACGGTTATGGCGGTCCAGCTGCCTTTGTGTGTGTTTCATTTAAATGTAAATCCATCTGAGAGACTAAGGATGAGCTCCGAAGGTAGCGAATTTTAATGTCAGTCGTCATTTTCAAGAATACTGAAATTCCCAGGGTCCAACTGCCTTATTTTAAAGATTCTTAGTGGATTATCGAAGTAGCAGTTTTTTGAGATGACATAATTCCATGAAAAGAAAATTAATTTAGGGCTATAAAAGTATACATAACAAGCCATTGCCTGATATGATGCTGAGTATTATTTTATAGTACTGTAAAGGAAAATAGTAGTGTCTTAACCAGAAATCAGGTTGTAGAAATACATTGAAATAATTAGATCCAGAAAATAAAATAAAATAAAATAATTAGATCTAAGATGCTTGAAAAAAGTACTAATGAAGGTAGCAACAATACACTTGACATCCTGATGTCATAGCACATCGTATATCTGTGTGCTATGTATATATTTACACTATCTAACCATTGATGAAAATGTAGCCTGATACTATAATTATAAATTAACATCTAGTAGCAATTTTGGAGGGCAGCTTTTCAAGGAAGCTTCCATTTGTCACTATCCTGCTTAAAGCAGAATGTCAGGACGCCTAGCTCTGTCTTTTGCTTTATTTTGCGGTCATTGTTGGCTTTGTGCATGCGGCCATGAGCGTTCTCTTCAAGAAGGTCACCTTCTGTTGCCTTTAACAGCTTTTTTTGTACTGGGGATTGAACCCAGGGCCTTTGCACTGAGCTACATTGAAATTCGCTACCTTCTGAGCTCATCTTTAGAGTCTCTAAGACAAATTTACATTTAAATGAAACACACACAAAGGCAGCTGGACTATCATAACCATCCCAGACATATTAACGTTTTACTTTAAGTCAGTGTCTCACTAAATTGCTAAATTGCTGAGGTTAGGCTCTTTAGCAGCCTTCCTGCTTCCCTACAATAAAACAGACCGTATTTGAGAGTTGCTGTTGATTGCATATTTTAAAGTAATTTTTGTCTTTAATCATTGCTTTACCAGCCTGTGACTTTTTTGCGCTAAAAAATAAACAAATAGAACCAAAAACCTCTTTTATCTGCTCTAACCTTTCTGTGTATAAATTCTTGAAAAATTACATGGTAGCATGCCAATAAAATGTACTCCTAAATTGGCGTTTCCAAAGTAATTATGAAAAGGATTATAAAGTTTACTAAAGGGGTTGCTGTTTGTTGGTAAATAAAACTTACGTAAGCCGCATCAGTGTAACTATCTCATAAGGAACCCCCAGAGAGTCAAGGATTCCCTTTAAAGAAATGACCACTCTTTATTCTAAATATTTTTAATAGGAAAAATAAAGGAATATCTTCTGAACATTTTTGAGAGATTTCAAATCTTTATGTATGTCTGTGTAATATACAAGTTTCTATTGGGAGGTTGCAGACTTATCACTTAAATCAGTGACATAGTCGTACATGTTTTGCTTTAATGAATAGGTGCTGTTTAGAATATATAACTGAGTTTTACAGTAACCAGGAGATGTGTGAAATGTGTTTATAGCAATATTCTAATGTTTAAATTTTATGACATGAGATCACACACGGATTTGTAATCAATATCAGTGATTTTTCCTTCTGTTGTCTGTGTAATTCCAGTGGGATATGTGGAGGCATTTTCCTTGAGAACAGGAATATTAGTACCATTCTTAGCAGCACCCTCCCCTCAAACACAAATCTCTTTTTTGTTCCTTCCCCAGACTCTCTCTGTTCCTCTCAGCTCCTGAGACTTGGAGAAAGTGAACTCTAAAAGCCAGTCTCTCTCTGTTTGAATGACAGACCTTGTGGAGGACTTGTGCTGTGGTTTCTTCAATCCAGGTAAAGTGTGCGAATACTTTGTGAAAATATTATCCTGTGATTATACCGTTACTTTCCCAAATGGTTACTTTTACTTTTAGGTGAAGAAAACAATGTTCTACTTTATTATTTGGATCAAAGCCTCTTCCATCTAAGGCACATATTTTGTAACAAAATTTTTATGTTTCTTAACACCATTAGGAAATTAGTGTTGGTATTTATTACAGTTGGTTTTTTGGGTAGCTTTTCCATAGTAGTTTTGAAAATGTTTCTGGGTTACAAAACAGGAACCCCTTTGGAAGGGGATGTCAGTCTACAGAAGACAACGGTGAGAAGTCCGTTTTCACTGGGTTTGTTTCTGTTTTGTGTCTTGGCTTGAGAAAAGCAGGAGATGAGAACAAATTAGCATGAATATTTTAAATCATTCCATCTGGTAAAACTTCACACTGTGCCTAAGAAACAGACAGTGGGGTTTTTAGAGGTGTGTTCCTGGGTAGCACCTTACTTGCTTAGCTTTTTATGAGGACGTTTAACAAATTCATTGGTGTTGGAGTGGGGGATGTAGGTAATTTTTCATGCCTCACACTCAGGGTAATTACCTGGTAACCAAAAATGCTATCTAACTCTATTTTTGGAGTGCAAGGGTGAGTGGGGGCTGGGGAGAATGAAACCTGAATCAGCGACCATCTGGCCCAGATTTGGCTGATTTCCTGTGCAGCGGCCTTTGTTTCAGCCGGACAATGGATTGTTCCTCTCCCAGATAAGAGCGCTGTTGATGACTCCGTGCTGAATCAGCGGGTTTGGTTTGGGATGAGAGCGTATACTCATATGTAGGGGTTTTTGTATCCTTGTCGTCATCAATTTCAAAAAAAAATTTGAGGTTTTTTTTTTATAGTAAAGTGGTTTTACAGTCACATTGAATAAAAAATGAGAATGTAGCTTTCTAATTGGTTATTAACTTCTTAAACATTGATATTTCCCTTGTCTTTAGTTTCTAAAATTAATATGTCCCCGATTCTGATTTTGATGAGTCTGTGAGCAGAGATCTTTTAGATCTGAGCTTGAGTTTTCCATTTGAACTCTCAATGATTTAAATTTGTTGTTGTCTTAAATCCAAGAAAGGGTTCTGTGATGCGGCTATGTAAATAGTAAGTTTTCTATGACATTGGTCACCATATATCTGCTAATGACATTTTAGAAGGTTAGATTTTTTTCTTTTTACCTTACATGCCACCTAGTGATCATGACACTGTTTTGTTTTTGTCATTGGCTAGAAATAGGGAAACTTGATCAACTAACATTCCAAGTTAAGTCAGCTGTCAATTTCTATAGATTATCTCTGAAGCAGTAGAGATCAGAGTGAGGTTAAATGCCTCACTTTCAGAAGACAAGAGCAAACTTCAGTGCTACCATTTTACTTGTGGCCAAGAAACGCAATCATTTCTGCTCCTGAAGAGATTGGTGGATTGTTGTTAAAGCCACACTTTTAGTTTAACTCTTATCTCCGTATCGCTGGATTGCCACTTGATATTTCAGTACAGACTTTTCGGCAGACAACTTCTTCCAGAACCACTTAGAACTTTAAAGTCAAGCATCCAGTTAGAACTTGCTGCTTTGGGATCTAACCTTTGATTCTTTTGTGTACATAGAGGTATTCTCTCTAGATGGAATCAAGCAGCCTGATCGTAAGAGAAAAGCTTAATAGTTAGTTCCTCGGGGATCTAATTATGTAGCAGATGGGACCAAACAGCACATTTCTGTGTCGTTTGCTGTAATTAATTTTGGGTCACATTCAGCAAAAGCGAATGAAAACAAATGACACAAAATCTTAGCTTGCATCCACTTGGGGCTCTATCCATTCATGCGTCCTCGTTCCCCTTGCCTTTTGGATCTCTTTAATCAACTGCTTGCTCTACTCGATATGAATTAAGTCTCAGAATTGCTTGTTGGTTTGAACGCATGTGTGGTTTGGATGAGCGGGTGTTACAGATGTTACGACTGCTAACGGGATAGAATATTCGGATTTAGAGAACTGGCTAAACAGTAAAGCAGGGCAGAACTAGAAGTTACAACCACACAAAAGTAGTTCTACTTTTATTTTCTCCCCTGCTTTCATCAGAGACTAGTTTGGGGAACTAGTTCGAGGCGGAAGGGAAGGTCTTATCCCTTCCCCCTCCTCGGCATCCCTCACCCCCCACCCCCTTTCAGATCGCACTGAGGAATTATAGTCTCTGCAGAGGCTTGGTTGCAGATGCCTGGAAAGTTTACACTGTAGAGAGTTGTTTTGTTTGGCATAGCTAATCAGGAGCCAGGCTGGAATTGCTCATAGCTGTCATTCAGGTTTTGTTTCAAAGTCCAAGGACCTGCTGGGCAAAACAAAAAGCTAATGAAAGCTGACTGTATTTAGGCCTCAAATCTGTGGAATCTGAAATGATGTCCTGACAGTGTATTCTTATTCTTCCACATTCTTGCTGTTACTAAGGTAACAGATTTTTTAGAGGCTTTTCATCTTCATTGTCAAGTATTTGCTACACTTATTGTTGTTTTTCAGATTAGAGCAATTCAGATTACCTCCTTTTGAGATGAAGGAAAAGGAGAAAATAATGGAAATAAAATGTCTGAATCAATTACTCTGAATGCTGGTAGGATCAGTTTTTTTTAATGCTATGGAATCTTTAGATTACTAATACATATTAAAATGTAGGACAAGGTCAGTTTCCCCAAGTGTGGGAGTGCTGTGTGAAATTCCCAGTCCTGTAATGTGAGCACTCATATAGTCACTAGGAAAATACAGCTTCAGAGAAAAGAGTTGTCTTTAAAAGCTTTCTTCTTTAATGAAAAACCAAATTGTACGAAAAAGCACTGTGCCTGAGTTCTTTATCTATAAGTAGGAAAGCCAAGTAGCACGGGAAATGTGTCCTAATGAACATATCTACTGAAAAATCTTCGTCCTGATGTTTGCTTGCGCAGGATGTGTTGCTTTCCTATATGAGCATTCATCATATGAAAATGTTTTTACAGTCCATTTGGGCTATATTATCACCTGGGGCTTTGATAAATAATAAAGAAAAGATGATTTTGTGCAGATACGGTGTTCTCTGGCTTGGCTTTAGATCTGAGAATTTCCAGGGATGCGCTTCAGTAACGTTATAACCTTTATGAATCTTCTTGTCAAGATGCCGACTAATTGAAAGATAATACAGTTTTTTCACAGACTTACCAAGCATCTTCATCAAGCACTCTTTCCCCGTGGTGGTGGCTAGAATGTTGAAGTGACCTGGTTTTGGTAGTGCTCCGATCATTTCACTGATTTGATCCCAGCACAATAAAAGCCTGCGTTCTTGGAGATAAGATCTGGTTTAATTTTCTTCTGAGAAATAAGTAAGAGTGAGCAGGTGGCTAAACGAAAAAGAACCCTTAAGAATGTGGAAGAGGAGAGGCCAGCCTATCAGGAGGCCCTTGTTTCACTTCCCGTGTCTCTGTTCATACCAGTTCCTAGCCTGGAATTCTGTCTTTTCTCCATCTGTAAGCCTGTGCTTCTCAAGGTCCAGCTCAGGTCCTTCTTTATTCACTAAATCCTTTTCAAGTAGTTCTGGTGTCCAGATAGTAAGAGAGGCCATGTCCTCAGCTGGTCACGGTACTGAAAGGATGGTGTGCAAATATACTTTTGACTTTTTTTTTTTTTTTAAGGAGAATGGTTAGGAGGGGAAGATACAAGGGAAAATAAAGAGACTAAATCATTTGAAATGGGCAAGTTTAATCCAAAAAAAAAAAAAAAGTTCAAAAGAGACGAGAGAGCTGTTTCCAAGGGCTGACATGTGCTGCTGGAACTGGATTGACTCTAATTACCTTTAAAGCCACAGATTTTGTGGTGAGCCTGGGGCTGCAGGGGCTGGCGAAGAGGAGGCTGGTAGGCCTGCTGAGGGCCTCCTGCCGCTGCTAGCAGAAGAGGTCTGCTTCTGACTGCTTTCTCTGTTTGTGTCTAGTATTTCTTTCAAAGGCGCACTGCATGGGTTAAAGATTTAAAAGTTTTGAAAATCACTGCTACATGGAATAATAAGTTTTGGTTCACATCAGAACAAAATGTTCTAGTAATAAAAGACTGAAAAATTCAATGAGCTGCTTTGTGAGATATGAGATCCACATTCAATCAGAAGGTTAATAGTCTGACAAGGATGTTGGATGATTTCTGCTTGGGGAAAAGGTTGGGTTGGATGGCCTTTAGATTTTCTATAGTTCCAAGGTTTTTTTTTTGGTACCGGGAATCGAATGTAGGACCTTGTGCTTGCCAGGCAGGCATTTGTACCGCTGAGCTATATCCCCAGCTCCTATAGTTCCAAGATTGCATAGTTGATTTCTTATTGTATCAGATAACTTGGCAGTGGGAGTTTTAAGCTCTGCCTCCCCATTAAATCATGAGGTTCTGGAGAGCAGGAACAGTGTCTTCACTGCCTTTGGATTCTTCAGATCGCGGGCCCAGATGTAGGAGCCCAGGAAGGACCTGTTGATACAAGTTTTGTTGATACACTTGCTTGACTGCCTTATTCCTTCGCCCAACCACTAGGGATGATAAGGGAAGTATTTGCAGAAACTGCTTTCTGCCCTTCAGGAATAGTAAAAATGACAAGAGAGACTTAAGATAAGCATCTCCTTTTGCCAGGAGGCCAGAACCCTACAGTGTCTGGGAATCTGGACACGGCTCCCTGAGCCTAGCAGATAAAAACTTGAATGTGGAAATCGTGACTTTCCACACAAAGTGAGGGACTGAAGTAAGATAGAAAGGTGAAGTGAGGAGATTTCCTGGTCTTCTGAGTGCGCATGTGGGGATGTATTATAAAAGAGTCACATTAGCCACCTAGACTTCGGAGTCTTTTTGTGTGTTGTGATTCATTTGGTTCTGATTTTGTTGCAAACTGAAACTAAAGGTATGAATTACAGGACAGCTTTCCAGATGCAAGATCTGAATCTGGTAAATTGTGGTAGAATCGATAGGGGCAGCCAGGTGCTTGATGAACACAGTG